CCTAGATATAAGAATTTTTGACTGACTAAACTTGCAACTGATTCACTAACAGAATCCATAACAGATCTTTACCCTAATCACATCAAAACCACAGAGCGCTGAAAAATGTTGTGAAGTCTGATGTCAACTTTAATCCTGAGAGAAAAAGATGTCAAGAGAAAAAGCTCTTTTTCTTGCCATTCTTTTTGTAGCTTTATGTACGAACATAAATATCACGTACAGTGATACTTACACACCTGTAGTTGTTGGCACTGAAGGTAAACTCAACATAAATGACGCAATTAGCCAATTACTTTATCACAATCCTGTTTTGAATTCACTCACAAATGTCAAGGCAGCAGATATTTGCACCTGTGGAAGCCAGTTACATTTGTTATTGTTTTTTTTTATAAGTTCTTTAGTGGGCCCATACAGTGTGGTCATGAAGCTTTACATTAAGTTTGATTATAAACCATATCAAAAATGGAACCTGCAGCATAAAAGATAAAAGATTCTGGACAGTACAATTATATAGAGCCTTATACAAGAAGGTTGCCGTCCAAATGACAACATCCTCCTCTGATTTAAAATGACACTGTTACTGCTATAGGTGTGTAAGAGGTTATATCTTGGTTGGATAAAGGGTACCGAAACAATCCCAAGAAAAACTCACTCGGACTCTTATTGCTACTGTGCCATTTGACAAGCTACAGTGTGCCAATGGTGGCGCACAAGTTTTCCCAATCCTAGTTCAAGGCACCATCTATGCGTGTTTACACACAAAAGACACATAATGGTTTTCTCAATTAAGTCAGAGAAATCGTTTAGATAAAATAGTGATATGGATAAAACCAGATATCTGTAATAACACAGACTCACTTAATGGTCTTCTTTTCATGTGTTTGATAATGGCCGTGACATCGAACAGGGTCTGCTCACTTCCACGAAAGGATACTCCACTACAATGGAGATAAATGGAACATTTCTCAGTGTCCTTATTTTCAAAAGACAGAATGGTATTCAACTAAATGCAAGGCCGGTTAAGTATACAGCATCATTCAAGGGAATCCAAAGTGTTTTACAGCCAGGATTTAACAGTGTCTATACTGTCTTGGCGACAAATATTTTTGGACGCTGGGTGACGTAAGAGGCAATTACTTTTTAACATAAGATACAGCAAAGTGTGAACCCCAGAATAATAGTTTTATTAATAATAATTATCGTCAGAAGCCGACAGCGCTGCATGCGTAAATGTTTCGGCAACAGATTGTAAAAATTAGTGTTGAACCCTTTCTGGAGCAAAGTAATTGTTCTGTCATATTAGTCTTATTTATCCCGCTAGTGCAAGAAGAAATTGATGCACATTTTACAGAACCAGAATTCACAAGCCTCAGTTCCGCTCTGCAACGTTTGGCCGTATGTCACTAGCAGAATATGCTTGGGTTGATGGGTGCACATGATCTGTCTAACTTTGCGTCAAATTATTTGTTCAGTCATCATTTCTGCCGCTAGCACAAGAGAAAATTGATGTGCATTATATGGAATCAGAATTCACAAGCCTCAGTTTGGCTCTGAAGCGTTTAGCTGTATGCGGTTAGCAGTATTAAAAGCTATAAGTTAAGTTATAAGCACCGATGCACTGTAATGTGAATAGAAACACATCCAAACATTTGACACATCATCCAGATGTGCCAATCAATCCGCGAAAGGAAAAGCAAACATTAGTGTTATTCTTATTATAACAATGGAATGGTTAACTTTGCTAACCAAAAAAAAGTACTAAAGGATAGAAATAGGACTTCCCACTTGTAAAATACTTCTTACGGTAAATTTTTTATTTTGAGATTTTAATGCAGAAAATTGTGACATTCCAGGGCTAAGTCTTAAGGTTAAGGTCTAAGTTGCACCTTTTGTTAAGTGGCGATAGTTTGCATCTCTGGTATTGAAGTATGAGACCATTTAGTGTTATATAGACTTATCGTAACTACTCCTTAACTAAAGCATTATTTCTGCCTTCATTTCTACATTTTTGTGCCACAGACTCAAGGTGAATACTTTTTAATCTCTCTTCTTTGTAGCCAAAAGGAATTATTTCCATTTATTTTGTCAATACCCTTAACCCTGTATATCCTCACAGAAGGATTTTCAAAATAAAGAATAAAATGCATTGTAGGTGCATTGTGAGTGTTCTCACAACAACAATATCAGTCATTTCATCAAACGTTGGCAACGTGTTTATGTTCAAATAACAAAGCCCATAGCGGCTGTGGTAATTATGCCTCTTGTCCATCGGGAGCCAAGGTGCGTATTGTTATGGTGCCAAAAACTCTGCAAAGGTAGAGTGCTGCTTGTTTTCCGCGTGACGCTGAGAATCAATGTTGTTTTTGTTCAGCCGCGACGCCAAGCCTGTGACCTCACCTTGATCACGTGTTATGACGGTCAGCAGAGCAACAAAGGTTCCTCTAACCCAAACATATTTCCAAAACCGTTTTACTTTTGGGTCCAAATCTAGTAGAGAACTATAGCTCCTTCACAACATGACTGTCCTCCCTCCTTTGCTCCCGAAGGACAAGCACTGTAATTACTACCGCTGCTACTGGGCTCTGCTACTTAAACAAATGTCGTTTTTGAGAGTTCCATGGAGTGTTTTGGGAGGACAGTCTAACATGCCAATTTGTTCTTACAAGAGGCGCTTCCCACTTAGCCCCCACTATCTGGCCTTGCCAGCTCGATGGAAGGGCATCACTTGTACTTTCCACCGTGTTATCACAGTTCCCCCTCTGTCAAGAGGCCCTTCCTTCGTATTTACCTGACATCCCTTTGCTGACACTGCACTTTTTTGCAGTTTAACTCTCCTCCTCTTCACCAGCACCAAGGCCCCATCTGTGGTCAAGGAGGAGGAGGTGGGGAAGGAAAGGGGAGGGATACAAATACTGCTGCTGATTTACAGCCCTGCCTCTTCGTGACAGCAACTTTTGGAACACGGAGCCACAGTCAGACGGACGGCTCAAGGTGCTTGTTACATTCATTTCACGCTCCTTGTCTGAAGCGGCGGCCCTGACTGAGCTACACTGCACTAAATGTTATCAAAATTAGTGTTATCAATCATGTTGTAGGTTAATACCATGGGCACACTTCTAGTAAATATAGCTGGAGCTGTGAGGTTAACGTAGAGCAAAGAGCTGAGGGACTGAATCCCGCACACACCTGGATTCGTTTGTAGGAGAAGTGTTCGGCTTGTTAGGAAAGATCCATCAAAAAAATGAAGGTACGCCGTGAAACAGAACACGGTCTGACGGCCAAAAGAGCTGTGAGCTAAATAAAGAAATAAAGAAATAAAAGACGATTATGACAATGTCTGTTTGGCCACACAGACGAATACTGCAGCTGTTTTTCCCGCAGCAGGAACCCCCCCCCAAAAAAAGAACCGGTTTGTATGGGTCCTCTTTGGCTTAGTTTGTATTCCAGTATTTTTAGTTCTTCTTGTTCTATGAGTAGAGATTGAGGTCAAAAGAACAGCCCTCCTGGAGAGAGAGATCTCCTTTAAAGGATCCACGCGGGGACATTAAAGAAATGCTTTGAATTATAATCAATGTGCCTTTGGATAAGTGGCCCAAACGTTCTGGCGTGTAGCAGAAAACGTCATGACATGAAAGATAATGAAAGATTAAACAAGTGAGCACAACATCCATATTGCGAGTGATTGCTAAACATGCCATCCAGATCCACAGGTTTTAATTTGCTGCTATTACAGCCGCCACGTTTTATTCTTGGTGCAAAACTGAAAGCCTGACTGAGGATTGTCTGTGCTTGCTCACTTTGAACCTCATAGTTTCAATGTCATACCGTCATAAAACTTTCACTGAGGCTAACCCAGAAGTCAAGTCAGGCTTTTTGTTATAATGGACACCATTTTTCAATTGACTCTCTTCTTTCCTCTCTTGGGTCCGAATCTTCTGAAGCCATGTACCAATCGGGAGACGAAAGGCCAGCCCTGCAATGGACCACAATGTGACGTGAATGAAGAAGAGAGGGGGGGGACTAAATCAAATATTTGAAAGTGTAATGGACTGTTGCAGGTATAACCTCAACTGAGCATTTTAAACTAAAGAGAAATGTCATTGCCGTAGGACTTATGTTAGCTAGTGATAACATGTGCGGTGTGAGGAGTGCAACTTTCCGAAAGCAGGTGTTAAAAACAAAACAGAAGGTGCTCTTACAATCCATGGCTATGAGACTTCTACATGGAATAAATAGACTAGTACGGCGTTTCAAAAAGGAAAAAACAACAACAAAAAGGTGTTATGTGACAGCTCACGGAGATACCAAGGCTGCTTGGCAATCAGGGTAGCAATGGATGAAAGAAAAAAGTGCAGTCAAAGAGGTAGGTCTGCATATAAACAGGTCAAATATAGCAACGCTTTAAAATCTTTAAGTTAGAAAGTCCAACATGATGAGTGAAGAGGCCGGTTGTGAGAGGATTGGAGGTTTGAGTCTCTACGGGCATGTGGATGTGTCCTTGGGTGGACACTTAACCCCAACATTGCTAGCGTAGCTGTGACTGGGGTGAATGATATTTACTGATGGGCAGATGGCACCTTGTACGGTAGCTCCTGTCATCAGTGTATGAAGAGGTTTGAATGGGTGGATGTTACTGTAAAAACAATTCGGCAGCCTAATTTACCATTCGGCTCCTTTTATTGCTATTAAAGGCCGAACTACTGCTCAAAAAAGTACTGTGACTTCAATCGACCACAATGACATGGTCCGTGTAATGAGAAAGAAATGCTTCACTCCGGTATCATCCCTCCTCGAACAGGACTCGTTGCGTTTAGCCTTCCCATCCGTAATAATTATGCAACAAGATGTGGGTTCGGGCCGCTACCCACTCATGCTATAAAGATGCCCACATAGAGCCATCAGCATGTCCTCCTCAACACCTGCATAATGGACTTACACAGGAACAGCATGTCAAAAATGGTGAGACGGCTCCTGTTTGTGTTGGTGGTGATGGAGAAGGCAAACAAAAGGCACATCTACACCAAACCAATTCGCATATTCGGCCAAAAGATGCCCACAGCTGTTAGACACAGCATTTGATGCTTTCTCCGTCATGCCTTTTATTTTTTCTCCCACATGCGCGTGCCTGCACACGCGCGCACACGTCCCCCACGCAGCCTGCCGCGTGCACCCGCAGACCTGCTTGCCAATGCACAGCAGTGGAGACCCGGACAGTGCGAGTGGCTGCCGGTGAACGCTGCCTGGCGTCTCTACTGCTCCGCTGGATGTTTGCGCAGAGGACAGCTGCCTGCGCCGCCGACTGCGCCGATCCGACCGCCGCAAAACACACCTTGTGTCCACCTCTTAACTTTTCCAACGAGTGACGGTCTTTTTTTTTTTGCTTTTTTTTTTTTTCTTGTTTCTCACATTTATATTTTTTGCAGCACGCACCTGTTTGAAGATTCTGCTTGCATCTTCAGAGGAAGCCCGCGCAGCCGTGCGTTTTGGCATCCAACTTGGCGCTTGATGGATATTTGTGTGTGACTGGTCTGGAAACTCGAGGAGCATGGACGCGAACTTTAAAAGCTTGTTCCTCTTTTTCAACATCACCTAGAGACAGTGTTCTTCATTAAATGAAGGCAGGTGAATCACCCCTCGCGTGAGAGGCGCGCAGAGCTCAGGGGCTCTCCAGGTACGGACGGAAAGGAGAGACGACGCGGTGGAAGTCGTGATCTGTGAGGCGGATTGCGCCACGGAGGACAGGGAGAGGGGGGTGGGTGGAGCGGACCGATGAGACAATATGGGTAAGTAAGTGAAGGGATTGTGTCGTTTTCACACGATGGCCGCCAGGGAACCACGAACCCCGGGATTCCGCAAATCATGACTATCATTAGTTCGGACGCACTCCGCACAACAGCGTGGGTTGAATCGCCCCTCTGGCGCATCTGTGAGTGTCGGGTTCTTGTGAAAATCTCCCTAAAACATTTCCGCGGTTTATTCCCGCTCCGCAAACTGACATTTCCAGTGATACAGAGAAGCACTTTAGCTCCATTTCTCTCCAATATGTTTTATTTTCCTAATTTGCATAGAAAAAGCATCTTGAATCCCCAATCGTGGCTTCTCCATCTCTACCCCCGAATAAAGAAGCACACAGTCTGCTGCAGGAGGTGCTGGCGCCTCTGCACATCCAGGGGAACAATGATGCTCACCTCAGAAGTCATGCAGTCCGTAATCGTTTTCAGTCGACGCGGGTCTATCTAGTTTAGCTTCCATTGAATGCACAATGCTAAACAATAGTGTACCTGTCCGGTGACATCTTTGTTGTTATTGTAGAAACTTTATTCCCCTCATATCCTTAACTGACTTTAAAAGGGCAAAAATTTGATCATTTTCCATGGCCTCCCCGTCATCTCCCTCATGCCATCCCGTGCTAAACTCGACATGATTTGACTCCATCCGTTTTGTTTTTCTGCCCCCCCCTTCTCCTGACAGATATGAGCACCTACGATCACATCCCACACTGCCTATCACCTCCACCATTTTACTGACTGGGTACTCGGAAGCTAAATTCACCGCTCAGCCTCACAAACCCACACTTCTCTTCAGTGTTTTTTTTTTCCACCACATTTCTTTGGGGGGGGGGGGGTAGGTGGTGCTCAAAGAACTGTGGGTGTTCTGGATTGTCACTCACTATGCGATGGAACCGCGCAGACTTTCAAGCACTCTGCAGCTGTTCCGACAGAACGCTGCACAATGGCTCCGTGTCCTTTCTTCCAGTGGAACTTATGTTGAATATTGTAGTGTTTCATTTTTATTAGGCAGCAGTGGCGCACACACTCGCAATTGTCTGTGTGGTGCAGAGGGAGAGAGAGACGTTTTCCAACTGCACCGTTCATTTTCATTGTGTCGGTCTCGACTTCTCGCTCCATTTATGCTGCCGTTTTGTTTTTTTCCTCTCGAAATGGACTGAAAAGCTGAGACATTCTGAGGAGAGGCCTGTGCAACATCTGTGCAGAAATGTGGCACTTACCCAAGTAATGAGCAGCTTAGTGAAACTAATGACGACATGCTAATACAGTTTTGATTATGTTATCACAATTACTAGAAGCCAAAATAAGAGGCTGCATTTGTTAGGATGTCAACACTTCTGACTGAAGCTCTCTCACAGTCTCCATCCCATCTTCATCCATCGACTTGGTTTTCAATTCAAAATGAGACAAAAGTTCATCATCAAGGGCAGCATCGTCTTTGGCTCTCCTGGAGAGAATAGCAGCACACGTTTTTATATAGTGATAATTAGTGAATAATTCCCATCACAGCTTCCCCCAAATTTCTGGCTTCGCCGAAGAACTCCCAACATCAAGATATCCAATATGAAGTGCTATTAATCAGAGCAAATACTTAGACTTGAGAGGGTGAAACTAGATACATTTTGCCATTTTTGCTTGCTTTCAGCGTATGTGTGGCCTAACCTGGGAAATTTATCTTCAGCTCTGCATTTTTCAACAATATAACTGTGGAAAGGACACAGAAAATGCTGCATTTCCAGCTGGCAGAAAGTAAAGGCAGATAAAAGCAACCGAGGAGTCATTTGGAACAATACCGGGGCTCAATGGTGTCCGATCTCACAGTTACCACATGTCTGCTGCAGTCGTGCTTTGACAGGAGCAACCGGGCAATTACTTTCAAAATAACCTTCAGATAATCCATCAGTTTCTTAGGGCACACGAAGACGGTAATTGGCCCAATGACCACATATCTGGAGAACCTAAGCTGAAGAAAATAATAAGTTACCTGTGGGCATCTTTTTTTCCCATTCCACTTCAAGCTTGTAGTGTAGATAATTAGAAAATGTTATTCACAAGTTTGCCACTGGCACAAAATCTTGTTATTTTCATGCAGACCATTTTGCAGTACGAGAGATGGTGGTTATTGATTCTCAGTTTTACAGGTTTATCGTTCTTAAAACTGGCAATTAGATCAACTAATTACATACAACACCTTTTTGTTTGAAGGTCAAAGTCTTTCTAATCTACAGAATAAAACCACAGCATAAAACGCTGCTACAAAGGCGTGGTTTTCAGAGGGCTTCCTACAGAGAAATGCAATGTAAGAATGCAAAGCCTGCGTTTTTTTGGACTAAGACAAAAAAAATGTACTCAATCACATGACTGTTCTGTGATGAACAGTGATTAACGGCATTATGCGCAAAAGTCTATAAGGAATTAAAAACTAGTGTATTGTACGCTTTTATATTAAAGTAATGTTATCAGAACAATATAACAGGCACTCTCGCAACAACAGCAAGTTAACATACAGTATATACCTCTGTTTTCTTTTTTATTTGAACAGGTACCAGAATAAATATTTGTCTTCTATCAGGGAACTGCATAATGCAGCATTTGTTCAGTATTAAGTGTCCCTGTTGAGTGAGGTAAAGTGGTCTAGCACAAAGAAAAAATACACAGCTGGAATTTACTACGCAGGGGACGTTTCAGTCTATAAAGCCTATGGATTTCCTTTGGAGAATCTTAGTTAAAGAAAGAAAAAAAAACACTTTCAGTGATGTAGGTTGAGCAGTTACACAATGACAAAATTAACTTTTAAGATCCACTTTTTTTATCCATTCATCCAAACTTTTCTTACGTTGGTTTATCGACAGTTCTCCCGCACGCCACATCCAAAGTAGTTTGCCCAAGTTTGGCTCCACTGATTGTTTGGGAAGCTAGTTGGTTGGCATCAATGCTGTGTTACGCATTTAAGTGTTTACCCTTCCATCATAGTGGAACAGTGGTTACAAATGCTTTGCTTTCATCGACCACGCCGTCTGGTAGAGATTTTAAACGAAAATGTTCATTTAACAGTGCCAAACCCATTTTTCTCGGTTAATGTGCACAGCAGTGTTAAGTTCAATATATTAAGTTAAAGATAATGCTCATGATATTTTCAACAATTCATTGTTCTGTATTTTGCACATACGGTGTCATATGTAGTTGATGTTAGTTTGTTTAACAGCCTAAACCTAGCTTGCATTCTACGGTAATTTGGATCTTCCCCACAGCCTTAAATGTTGGTCTAAACAGAGCGACATAACATTACTGATTCAGCTTCCAGAACGTGTTTGGACAGGAACAGGGGAAACTTTGTTTCACCTCCGGGGCCAAAGCTGATGTACTCTGGGAGCTGTAGAGTTTATTCATGGACAAACACTGAACATTTACTACTACTTGACAACTTCACCGTTAATCTCCTCTCTGCTCTGATTGCCAACAGCTGTCTGCTTCTCTCTCTCTCTCCCGCTCGCCCACACTACGCTAACTCATAGGCTTGGGTCATCCCCTAACAAATAAAAGGTTTGAAACACATAGACGAGAAAACAAACGCGAGGGAGAGAAACTAATATGCCGTATTTATTGAAGAAGTGAAGCAGAGGATTTATCACAGAGGCAAAGACGTCACTTGCGACACACAGTAGTGCCTGTCCATTTTACAAAGAACAACAGCCAATGGGGAAACTCCAACTTGACCGACCAATGGACAATGTTACTTTAGCGTTGATACTGTTAGACTGGCCCCTGCTTTGCTGCGGTCCAGTGAAAACAGACTTAACTAACCTTGAATAGGCTTCAGCTGTGGCTCCCTTTTGGATAGCAAAAGCCATCAATAAGGATTATTCTGTCAGTGTGGCATGATTCCTCATTGCGAGCCTGACTGAAAGCCCCCGTCAGGCACTTTTTGCTGTAGTTTAGTAATATTCACTTCACCCACACATGCCATCAAACCATCATAACACAGCATATCTTTCCCCTGTATACCTCTAGGTCATTCATTTCAGTTAATTTGTCCCTTTCGCTGTGCAGAGTGCTACAATGTTTTGAATAACCACATTTCATCAAATTCCCCTTTTCTTGTATTTCTCTTGAAATTCGGAGACAACTTCCCCAAGCAATGTGTCCTGCACATTGAGGTTATGCGGTAAAATATGGGCAGAGACACATCACTGAGAACAAAGTTTTGCAGTAAGCTGTGGGAGCTGAGCTTGCACATATAGTGTATTGTTTGTATCTGTACCCCCCCCCCCCCCCCCCCCCGAGGGACACAACAGCCCACGTTTGCTTGTCATGGTCTTCTAGCCTAAAAGATAAAAAGGATGATTTGTCAGTCCCTTACAAAACAACATAAATGAACTTGTGGTTATGTGTAGGCCATAAAAGGACTTCTTGGGTGGGAGAAACTTTTGTTCTTGGATAGATGTAACACACTACTGGTAAGACGTGAAACTACTTCTGCCTTTATTTCTTGGTCATCGTTAAAGGGGTAAATTATCAAAATTACCCCTTAGAACTTTTTGGTTACATTAATATGACAAATAACACTCAAAATGAAAGTTCTGAAAACAGCATCTTAATTGTTTATTCAATGGGACACAGCTAATCTGCTTAATCATGGCACTGTGTGGTTTGATTAGATTTGATTGACAGTTGCATGGCAGTTGGATTTTCACTATGCCACCGGATTAGGCGAGAATCGCAGGATTCCATGTCACAAGAAAATCCATCTTTTCAGGTTTCAGATGAATAAATGCATTTGTGTACAGCAAGCCAGTGCACCGACCAATCAGCATCCCACGAGGACCTGCTAACACTCTTAGGTGTGTGCGCGTGATGACAGGAGAGGCAACTTTTTGTTATTACAACATTGGCGGCTCCTGAGGGAGACTCTTTAATAATGTCAAGTGTGAAAAACAGCACTGAGGGCTTTTCTTGATAAAAAAAGATGTTTTTACCCTGACTTACTTTGGAAA